TTCTTGTTGTTTGTTAGTGATTTTTCTGGACTAATTCTGTAAAGTCTATATTCCTTGTCATGTGTACCCATGAAAGTCCCTTATTTTGTTAGCTTAGTGTGCTAACGATTGGAGAGAGATTTCCTTAACTACCTTAACTAACTGATAAGTCTCCTTCTTTTTGCCAGGGGGCTGTGTGTGTGTGTGTGTGTGTTTATGTATGTGTATGCGTTAGGGCATGCCTCCAGTGCTCTGACAGTTTATAAATCTGTCTTAGCCTGCACTTCCTACTTGCACAGAGCCAGATGTTAGAGATTAGGACTTTCTCAGTTCCTTCCTGGGTGTTCACACTGCCCTATATATGCATATGACCTCCCAGATTCCCAGGAATATGTTGGAATATCTCATTCCCTAGATTTTAAAAATTTATTGGCTATAGCCTTGTTTGCCTTAACTGGTATCATCACCTCGGGAAGCTGAGATGTTAAACAATTACCACTGTTTTTGAAAAATGCCCTGGATGTAGTATTTCTCACTGAGCAAGCTCTGAGTCAGGTCAAATAAAGACAAACTTTATCAATGAGACTTTTGTCCCATTTTGCTCCAAAGCATTCTACTCTTGTCAGTGATTATGAGGCTCTTGGTTTTCAGTGCTTACCACAGAGTTGGGAAAGGATCCTGAGAATGGGACAAGTTAAAAAAAACTTCCATCAAGCTTGCTGTTCTTACTCAGAGTCAGCCATTTTTCTTGAAGAAGTGTTCTTCGAATTGTTGCAATCCTTCCTTTAATTTCCAGAATTCTGAAAAATTTGATTTTGATGAATTTTGCTAGTGTTCTCGTGTTCTTATGGAGGAGCGCTCTTACTCCACCAATCTGGAAAAGCTTCTGAATGTTAGTTTCTTGAAAGCAAAACCTTTTTCTGCTCTTTGCCTGCTATGCCTAAACTTTCTGGTAAGATTAATTTTGTCTCTTGTGATATTCTATGTTTCATATGTTTAATTACATAACTGATAAATTTCATGGTACAATTTTAATAGTATACCATTTAGTAATGTATAACTAAGACTACACCAAAAATTTGTGTAATCAAATGTTTGTTGAATTTACAGTGATTTAGGAAACTTCTTTTCTAACTTTCTGTAGTACTGAAACTCTACCTTCTCAAAGATTTCCTTCCCATGAAGAGCTAGAAACAGCTAAAGTGACTATGCAGAAATCCGATGATGTTCTTCATGATCTCGGCCAACAGAAGAAAGAAACAAATGGCATGGTTCAGGTAAAGTGGGAATGATGTTAAAATTGATGATTAGTAAGGGTAAAATTATGAAGGAATAAAAAAGTTATAAAGATAGAAATTAGGAGAAAGGATGTAGGTAAGGCACTGAAAAAGACGTGTCAGTCAAGTCTGTTCCCTTTACAAAACTTTTCCAGAAGCCCTCACCAAGTGTTTCTGCTTATCACTCTTTGGCCAGGACTGAGGCTTATGGCCATCCTTTTGGCTTTCCAGCCTTTGTCGGAGAGGAAGGAATGGGGAAAGAGACCTGTGAATGGCCGTCTTTATCCAATCCACAATGCCTGCCATACATACCTAGAATACCTAGAACCATCCTGCTCTTATTTTGTTTTAGCTTTCTTCAGCAGATAGGGCTTTTATTGGCCATTGGCCTGTCTAGCACTGCTATGGGTTTTCCATCTCTATTTTATTTAACACTCATATTAATACTTCTTTTTTTAATTTTAAGTTAATTTTTAAAATTTTTTATTTGTTTTTTATTTCAGAGTATTACAGGGGTACAAATGCTTTGGTTACATAAATTGCCTTTGTACCGCCTAACAAGTGTGCCCATCCCCCAGACAGTGCACACTGCATCCGTTAGGTGTGGATTTACCTATCCCCTCCTCCCTCCTCCTCCCTCCCACCTGCCCGACACCTTATGAATGTTACTCCCCATATTTGCATATTAGTGTTGATCAATTAGTACCAATTTAATGGTGAGTACATGTGGTGCTCATTTTTCCATTCTTGTGATACTTAGAAGAATGGGTTCCAGCTCCATCCAGGGTAATATGATAGGTAGTTCATCATTTTTTATGGCTGAGTAGAACTCCATGGTATGCATATACCACATTTTGTTAATCACTCATGTATTGATGGGCATTTGGGTTGTTTCCACATCCTTGCAATTGTGAATTGTGCTGTTATAAATATTCGAGTGCAGATGTCTTTTTTATAGAATGTCTTTTTTTCCTTTGGGTAGATAACCAGTAGTGGGATTGCTGGATCAAATGGTAGTTCTACTTTTAGTTCTTTGAGGTATCTTCATACTACTTTCCATAGCGGTTGTACTTCTAGGATGGAAAAAACCCTTAACTGCCAAGTGTTCTTTTGTAACTCTTCAGTTAGGCAAATTGTGTCCTTAGAATTACTGGCATAGTGTATGGCCCCAACAATAATAATGGCTCTTGTTTGGATTGAAATAATCAAAGTGAGTTTTACACAGTAATTTTTTTGCCTTTTTTCTTTTAAGCCAAAAGAATCTCTGATCATGTTAAAGCTTGCTTATTTTCCTCAGAATTATGTTAAGCTTCAGACAACTCATATGACAAGATCTGTGTTGAAAGATGCTGAGAAGATTTTGAGAAGAGTACAAAACAACAAAAAAGTACTTGAGGAAAACCTGGAAGCTATTATCCGTGCAAAGGATGGAGCTGCAATGTACTCATTTATCAATGCTTTATCAACCAGCAGGTAAGACAGGGTTATTTATGAAACTGCCAGTTCTACTTAATTTTTTTCCTAAGCTCTACAGTTTGTTTAATGTGTTTTAAAATTTAGAAAAGCTTCTTTATTGCTTTTGAAGATGTGGAACTTATTTGGATATATTCATGGTGGTACTACTTTTTACTGATGGAAATTTTCCTTTTAATTTTTTCATTCTTTGGTATCTATCTTCTGGGGTCTACATGTGCTTTTCAAACATTTGATGAAAACTAATACCATTGGTTTTTGCTTTTCAGATGAAGGATATTGGGCTAAAGAGTAGATTAAAAACTAGAGAAGAATTAAATCTGATCCAGGTCCTGTTCTCAGGACATTAGTGCTAATTTAAGACAATTCATTTTTCTCTTTTGTAGAGAAATGTCAGAGAAGATTAGGATCAGAAAGACAGTAGATGAGTGGATCAAAACTATCTCTGCAGAAATTCAGGTATGTCTTGGGAAAAACTGAAAATTAAGTGAATTCTCAGAAGATAATGTTGATTCCCATTTATAAGTATCACACTTTTCTCAAAATACTTCTTATATAAAAGTCCACTTATAATTCTTAATTTTACTGTGTCACTCTTTATATTAATAATAAGTTTGGTTTTATTTAATAAGTACTTTATTTCATAAATTATATCATGGCTCTTATTTGGCGAATTGTTGGACAATAACTAAAATATAAATAATTTGAAAGAAAATTTAACAAAAGCATTTAGAAAAGAAAAGAATTAAACTTGCAAGGATGTTTCAAGACCACAGATTTAGAAGCATTGGGTCGCCAAAGTGAAAATAGCAAAGTTATTTAAAGGGAAAAAAACCCACTAAATTTCCAAGGTTACTAAGTTTGCAGAAGTCAGTTCCAAATGGAAAAACAGCCTCTTTTTCACATCCACAAAAGTCATGGTACATCTTCAGACAGCAACATTGCTAAAGTCTGGGAGTTGTTTTTATTAGGAGATCAGTAATTTTAAGGAAATTCTTAACGTTTTATGTATTTGAGGAAGCAGAACTCAACAGGGTACAAAGTACTTTTTTCCTGAATGTAAGGTATGCTTGTACGCTACTCACAATGGTAGCAAGGTGAATTATCAGTTCTGTTTCACAGCAATAAACACAGAAATATATTTTTAACCTTCATTGCTTAAGTTATATGTCTCTAATGCAGTTATGGAGAATTTATGTTAGCCGTTGTACGCTGCACCAGAAAAAAAATGAAGCATCAGAAGATTTGGAGTCTAGTTTTGGCTCTGCAGCCAACTGGTGATATATGTCACTCTATTACTATGAATTCCATGTAAAAATATGTTTGTTTAAACCTTCAAGTAATTTTAATTCATAAATACTTATCTCAGAGTTTTACTACAAAAATTT